CGACAATCGTGTAAAGAAAATTATTGAATTAAAGAAAAGATTGTGCGATGGAACAAACAAAACTTTTGTGCTGATTAATCAGAAGGGTATCGATCCACCGTCATTGGATATGTTGGCTCAAGAAGGCATAATGGCTATGAGACGAGCTAAACGACGAAACATGGAAAGATTGTGTCTGGCATGCGGTGGACAAGCTATGAATTCTTTCGATGATTTGCAAGAAGAGCATTTGGGATATGCTGGACTTGTTTACGAATATGTCTTGGTATGTGTGTTGTCGTTAGTTATTTACATTAATCGTATTTTATGAACAGTAACTATTTTAGCCGATCGCTAATAATAGCCTTTGGAAATATCAATCTGTCTACATTAATGGCATATTCGTGCTAATTATTAAGCTGACTTTAAATAAAGTTTTTAAGATTTCTATTCTAACGCTTACATAAGTAAGTACATGTTTCATTGAATTTTTAAACTTGATTTAGGGTGATACCAAGTACACGTTTGTGGAAGAGTGCAAAAAGCCAAATTCAGTAACAATTCTTTTAAGGGTAATTATCCAATGAGAATTAATTATTACTGTTAAATGCCTCTCATCCGATTCTCATAAATAATTAATAATTGTAGGGATCTACTAAATACACCTTAGTTCAATTAAAAGATGCAGTCTATGATGGCCTAAGAGCAATTAAAAATACCATTGATGATAAAGCCGTCGTTCCTGGAGCTGGTGCCTTTGAAATAGCAGCTAACAAAATCCTTCAAGAGTACAAAAACGAAATCAAAGGAAAGAAACGACTTGGAATCCAGGCATTTGCAGACGCATTACTCATCATTCCAAAAACACTAGGTGAGCTTCAATTATTGGTAGCTGATTTGATTATCTTCTAAAAACTAAATAACAATTTTTTTAAATAATTAATTCATTTAAAAAAAGGAGAGAAAAAATAAAAATATACATTGTAACGATTGAAAATATTTTCAGCTGTAAACAGTGGTTTTGATTCACAAGATACTATTGTCAAGCTGCAAGAAGAATCAACTGCATTGAGTCAACCTGTTGGATTAGATATTTCAACTGGAGAAGCCGTAGATCCAAATATAGTTGGAATTTATGATAACTATATTGTAAAGAAACAAATTATTCATTCCTGGTAAGTCCGAACGATGTGTCTATATAATATCTATACGTACATGCGCATATACATTTCATATGTATTCATTAAATTTTTCATCTTTGCAGCACCATTATCGCCTCCAATATTCTATTAGTGGATGAAATTATGAGAGCAGGTTTATCATCGTTAAAAGGATAATATACTTAAAAACTAATATCACTTGCACGTACATATTTACTTTAATCTTATTTGTATTACATCAGTCATTCTCGCTTATTGTCAGCTTGCTGATAAAATATACTTTTATTGAATTTGTATTTCGTACCACTGAAAATAAAAATATTTTGATTTAATATTTTATTATAAATTGTTACTTTAATTATAATTACTTATTGGCACCTGTAATTAAGAAGTAAAAAGCTGAAGGTCTTATTTACTTACTTACACTGTACAGTGCAAAAATAAAGTATGTAATCGATTTTTTATTTGTAAAAAAATTTTTTATTAATAAAATCAATATACGGATTGTGTAATATACATATTCGAACATATGAAAGAATTGTATTTATGGAAAATTCTTTTACAAAATGACGTCATGTAAAATATTGAAATTAAAAATATCAACGACTCTTCATTGTTCATCATTAATTGTCGAATAAATATGTAATTTATTCTATAAATTATTTGTTATATTAAAAACGACAGGCATTGTACGTAAATAGTATATTCATTTCAAATAAGCTCTTTTGCAACAAATGATTGGACAAGTTTTTTTTAAATAAAATCTTATTAATTTTTGCTTGACTTTTCGAAAAAAAAAAAAAAATTTATATACAATAGCATCATACAGTGCATTAAAGATATCGTTTACACGTTAAAATATAGTCAAGGAAAGCATTTGGAGGGCCTATTGAAAAAACAAGTCGTTTTTAATAAAAACGTACTTAAACGTATATACAGTTTTCTGAAAAGCATTCTTGTCTCAAGCGATTAATTATGATTTAATAATCATCATTCTTTAATTGCTTCACCAGCAAAACATTTCAAAATTTTCTCTTTCAACATCAGTTTATGGTATTATTTAATAATTCTTACGAATATTTTTTATAAAATTTTAAAATACAACGTATTGTCTACGAATAACGTTTTTCCAACTTCTACTCTCGACTATCCATGTTCATTACCATCTAAAAATGTTGACGAAAAATTATAATCTTTAGACAAGTTACCTATTATAACTGGGATAATTAAAAATTAAATCAACTCAAGCACGCGAGCCGAACTGAGCTTAGCTGAACTGAGATGAGCTGAGCAGAGCTAAGCAGAGCTATGAACAGCGGGAATAATAATTTTATTTTATTATAAAACTATTCGATTAAAATTATCTTTATTTTCTACTTTCATAAAATTTAAAACTAGCGCAATCTACTTAAAATATGAAATTATACATCAAATAAGAAATTATAGAAATTAGAATATTAACATTGTCAGATAAATAAAATTAGAATCATTATATTTTAAAAAAATCAAAAATATTTATTTAAGGATTTTGTACACTCTATTTACAATTATTTCAAATGTGTTCATTACAGTCTAGCCATAGTTGATATTTCAGTCTTTCTTAGTTTTCGAGCTTTTTTTTTTTTTGTTTTTTTTTGTTTTTGTTTAAGTTTGACTCTGTATCCATTTATTTATAAAGTACTGATTATCTCATTTCATTCGTGTTTGCAAGTTTTTTCTCGATTATAATACTGCGAACAATGTGAACAATTTTATTTTCTTACAGTTATATAAACTGCATTGTATTTAGTTTTATTTTTGATGTTAGGGAGGAGTTTTAAAAACATTTACAAATGACGATGGACTCTCTCAACGTTACAAAATCTAAAATATATTTAAGAAGGAAAAGTTATCGTAAATTCACATAATGCTATAAATTATCTTAAGTTCACTTTTACAAGTATATACAAATAGAGAGAGAGAGAGAGAGAGAGAGAGAGAGAGAGAGAGAGAAGAAAGTGAGATAGAGAGTGAGAGTGTGAGAGAGAAAGAAACAGCTACATTATCATTATGTTACTTAATGAGATATTGATTCTAACGTTATAAAGATCAATTTATAATTCAGATGAAGTCATTTACATTTCCGTAATAAATATTAATTTTACTGATTTTTTTCTATTTATTCATTGATCAATTATAAACTAAATTTCTATGCAACATCTAAACACTATCGATTTCTCATTTAATTTTCGTTTAATGGTGCAAATCAACTAACGTCATTTCAATTCAATTTGCAAATTATTTCACACGAAAACTTGTAATTACAAACCTAATAAATTTAGTTCACTTAGTATGCCAATTACTTTTTTTAGTAGCAAAATGAGGAAAAAGACTAAAATATATGAATAGCTCTATTTCCCCGAATTCGGTAGAATAGCTTTTTGCTACTTATTCAATATAAATAAATATCGGTGTCTATCTAAATTAAACATTAATACATCGTATAGGATTTTCTTAAATTGATAACAACAAGAAAGAAAAAAAAAGAAAAAAAAATTCGTTACAATAATTGTACTGTCAAAAATTTCAAATTTTACACTTATTGGTAGTTTCGAAATTTGTATGTAACTTTATAACAAGACAATCCTTAGTTTTACATAAATGTGATACGAAGGCACATGCACTCACAATAGAGAGAGAGAGAGAGAGAGAGAGAGAGAGAGTGAGGAAGAAATAACGAAAAGGAAACAACGAAGGACCCTTTAGGGTTTGGTTCGCGCGTCATTACGGATTGATATCACTAAAAATGTCGGCCCATCCGACAATCTCTTATTCATCTACGATCTATCATCTCCTTTCTAAAATCCGTGAGCTTGAGTTTCGGCTCTATGTTAATGTTGAATATCTCGGCTAGCTTGGCGCAATTGACCTTCATCTTGAGTCCGGCCAGGGCCATCGTCGTATGCAGGCTCCCCAAATCAACCGGACTGCTGGATCGCCCATAATACGACGTATATCTCGTCTTGCTCTTCTCTTCGTCCCTCACTCGTCGTTCTTCGTCATCCTCATCAACGTCCTCCTTCTCATCCGTCTGGAAGATAACGCCCGAGGGGTAGCGTGGCAAGGGATTGGTCGACTTCCTAGCAACGGCCTTGATTTTGCAGGGTAACGGCCGTATCGCAGTTACCGACTGCTTAGTCGTCGACTTCTTGGCGACGCGAGGACTTACGGACATTACCACCAGCTCCGTTTTTGTCGGCGTTATGGGCGGTGTTTTTAATAATGATGTCATGGGCACCTTCAGGGGAACTAGCTGGACGTTAGTAAAGGACGTGGAGTCGTTGACGATCGCTTCGATCTCCTTGCTAAAGTCCTCTCCCGTTATAGTCCGCGTCTCCAGCTCCTTATCCGAGTGCAATAGCCTAAAGTGTCCCTTCACCGACGACAGGGTTTTAAATACGTCCGGGCAATACTTGCACTTGTATACGTTGAGGTGGTTCTTCGCGTGCTTCTGCATCACTTCGAGCGACAGGGTATCGAATCCGCAGTGCTTGCACGTGAAGCCACGGCGTACGAGCTTGTAATTGGGACGTAGCTGCGAGTGTATTACCTTCTGATGGTAATCCATGTCCTCTTTGTTAGTGAAGAACTCGTCCTTGCACCTGGAACGAATGGACGATGATAATCGGGGGCGAATGGAGTCAATAAATCGATTTGTCAAAACGAACATTAGATTGGTTATGCGTCAAGGAGTAATGCCTGGACTCTAAGACGCCAAAATGCACGAAACGTACCACTTGCACATCCAGTCGTAGTCGTCTTCCTTGTTGACCAGCAATATGTCCTTGTCACGTCCGTGCTTCTGCCAAATGTGCTCGATGAGGGTGGACCTGGTGCCGGGCTCGGCACAGTACGCGCACTTGGCCCTTGTGTCCAGATGCTGCTTGTACCTGAAAACCGAGCACTTTTGGTCCTCCTTGTGCATCAGCTTCCAATGAGTTCTAATCACATCCAATGACAAACTGCTGACGGTAGTGCTGTTGCAGTAATAGCAATAATATACGATCGCCTTGTTCTCGTCCTCGAGCTTGGCTTTTTTGGCCGCCCGCACGTTCGCCGCGTCCATTGCCGCGGTCACGATCGCCTCCTCGACCTTGCAAAAACGAACATTTTAAGAAACAATTGAGTAATAATTGATTAAGCGATTATTGGAGCTATTGGACGGCGAGGTTTTGTTACCTTGAACTCGAGATGCGAGTGATTAACCTCCCAGTGCTGCCTCATTTCCGACGAATTGAAACTAACGAACGTGCAGTAATTGCACTTCTGCTTCACCCTGATTTCGTGCGTCCTCATGTGGCTCTTGAGTCCGGCGTAGGTGATGGCCGTGAAGTCGCACGTGTCACAGGGCAGCTCGTGGTCGACCCGCGCCCCACCATCCTCCGTATTATCGTCCTTCCGCTTGCGCTTCTTCGGCGCCTTGGGGACGACGAGACCGTACTCCCGCTCCCAGAACTCGGGACTCAGTTCGCGCACCTGCGGATTCGGATTCTCGAAAATCTTCTCCGGGAGGGTGCGATGCTTGGAGCGCAAGTGCTGCACCATTACCGCCTCGGAGTTGGTGCTCCGGTCGCAGTACGGACAGAGGTAGTTCAGTCGTTTCAGATGTTTGAGCTTCACGTGACGCTTGAAGCCTCGCCATTTGGCGAAGCTCATGCTGCAGTGCTTGCAGATTAGGGGCATCGCCAATACTTCCGCCGCGGGTACTGGAGCTGCAGCTATAATGTAAAATGATTTGTCTCTTTATTATTATTATTCATTTATTTATTTATTTATTTATTTTTTTGTTTGTAATACTCGCGCACTCGAGTTGAAGAGCAAAGGGGCAATTTATCGAGTTTTCATAATCCCACAAACAAAAGGAGAATGGACGCTTTCAAGTTTATTTCTATGGAATAGTGTCTAGAGTTCGTACACCGTCATGGATTTTGGCGTAAATTATCGATCACAGTCTAGGCTAGTGCACTCTTCGTATACAATGAACGATCGTTTTGAAAATCGCGAAATTTGAATTTAGCGATAGATCGTTTACAACTCGAATATTCGCACGTACGTTTAACAGCGTTTTCGGTCTTCTCTTCCTCCGAATTATCCTCTTCTTCCTTCGTATCGATAACGAGATCGTCGTCTTCGCTTTCATTAGCAACCTCTTCCTTCGTTTCGACGACTTCCTTGGTAACCGGGGCTGGCGCTTTAGTACTTTTCATAATCTCCGTTTGCGTTTTCATTACGGACGTAACCTGCATATCATTTACAAGGCATAAATATTTTTGCACATAAACGCTCGTTTATCGCCCGTTTAGCGCGCAATAATTGTTGACTCACCCATTCTTCAAGCGGTCCATTCGGGGTGGCGGCTCTTGGCTCCAGGGTTTCGTCGGTGTGACGATTAAAAATGTGTTTCACTATGGATCCACGATTTACGGCCCTGTACTCGCAAGTCGGACAAAACCACCTGGAATTACAAAATTACGTTCGCTCGAATAATTAAAAAGTCGACAACTACTCTGCAAGCACAATTAAGAAAGGATATAATTTTCGTGACGATTGGTTTGCGAATCGCGAGACTTCTCCAATGCTTTTATATAATATCAAACTTGTTAATACACAATAATCTTTTTCCACAATTGGCGGGCTGTATTTATTTAATTATAGCGAATGAAATTTAATGTTAGCGTACTTGGTGTACTTGAGGTCCCTGTAAAGATGATCCCTAAAGTCGTGCTTGTACTTGGACTTGAATTGGTTGCAAACCGTGCAAACGTAAAGGTCCCCGATGGGCTTGCCAAGGGGCCCGTAGCCACCCTCGGGCATAGCCACCTTGGGCTTTTCGGGCTCGTCGAGCGACGTCCTCGGCTTCTTGATTTCCGGCGACTTGCAGTCCTCGACGCTCGTCTTTGGCAACTTGGCTTTAGCTGGCTTGGCCGCTACCTCGGACTCAATTTTACGCTTGGCATTGACCTTCGCCGACTCGACGTTGTCCTCTTCCTCGAGTAGGATGCCCCGGATGTGACGTATACGCGGCATGTCACGACGCCACAACGGCGTCGTGTCGAAGGGCTCATCCTGAGGAATCGTCGGCTCTATGACGTCAGGTTTCTTCAGACCTACGAACCCACACGTTTTCCAAATGCGTTTATTATTATTGATATGCCGTCATCGTCATAATATGTCAATATGTACGAAATTATCTAACGTTTGAGTAAGTTACCGAGACTTAATTATAATTTCGATTCGTTTATCGACGCTACGAATAGAACTGAACGGGAAAATAAAGAAACTCTCAATTGCAAAATAATAGTACACGAATAACCAAAGCTTCGATTCCTGTTTATTCAAATTAATGAGAATGTTGTAATTGTATGTATTTGTAGTAATTGCACGAGAATGTCATTTTTCCTTTAAAATCAGGTCATTATCCGAGGGTCTTTAATAAAAGCAGTCGCACCTTTTATCCTTTGGTAAACGGTCGTGTAGTCGACCTCGGGCTCGTTTATATGCTTAGTGAGCATGTGTTGGTCGAAGGTGATTTTGCTGATGGTCTTGAAGGCGCAGCCGTTGCACTTGAACTGACACTTCTCGTCGTGAGTGGTGGCCGCGTGATTTTGCATCGCCGTCTTGTACACGGACTTGAAGTCGCAGAGGTTGCATTTCCAGGTATTCCCGTCCGGGTCCGGGAGCTCCGTCTCCTCCGGTTCTTGGGACGCGGATGCCTGCTGCTGCTGTTGCTGCTGGGCCTCGCCTGCCTGGTCCAGCTGCATCTCGCGTATCACCTTAACGAACGGCCTCTTTTCCGGGTGCTTGTCAGCCAGGTGACGCTCAACCACGTGTCTGCACGTTTTAAGTTCAACATTTAGTTATAATTGCTTAGCGGCTCCCGGCACACATCTGTCTCCCCAAGCACGTTGAATGGCTTTAATGGAGTGCGTTTTGGATTAAATGGGAGACGAGGAATTGTTTTCAGTGCTTTTTCATTGATTCGGTCGGTTGTTCGGATTTATCATTGATAAATCGGTAAAACAACTTTTAATAAAATAATGTGCATATAAAATTATTGGCCATATTTTCATTCTTTTGTCCAATTTCATTGGAGAAGCATTGTGCGTTAGTTGTTCATGTTATGCTGCTGTTCTATTAATCCTTGGCTAAGATAATAAACATAAACTATTTGGAAAGTAAAATGTTTTTATTATTTGTTTGTTTGTCTCCACCCCCCCCCCTCCCCACCCCTAAAGACGTGAAGAAAAAAAACGATGACGATCGTATTGAAATATTGAAGAAACGAGGAACTATTCGACGTGCTTGGAGAGAAAACGCTTGTTAAATCTAGTTATTTTAGTGTGAGAGTACTGTGCAGTATTTTGGGAAGTAAATATAAATGTAACAATGTAAAATATGCTTACTTTTTAAATAAGAAATGAAATAAAACATTATACTCGGTAAATTAATTACATTGATGATGCAATTAAATTGGCAATTCGAACAAAATATACGACTTTCAATTGCATAATGAGAAAGGCTTCATCAGTTATATACGGCAATATTTAGATATACGATTAATTAGTTTATTAATAACGAGAATAATACAGTGTCTGTTGGTAGTTGTATTGGTGTGTGTGTGTGTGTGTGTGTGTGTGCGTGTGTGTGTGCGTGTGTGTGCGGGCGTAGGTAGGTAGGTGCGTAGGTACGTGCGTGCGTGCGTGCGTGCGTGCGTGCGTGCGTGCGTGCGTGCGCATATATGTATACGCACGCATGTGTATACGTAAGCATCGCTTTACATGTAATATTAAGTCAAAATCATTTTTATGAGAAATTAAATAATCTTATTTAAATTAAATGATGTTTATTTAATATTGGAGAAATATATATTCATGTATATAAGAGTTGCAGCATATAAACCGTGTAGATAATTACTTTCAAGTATTTGGGTTTTAGAAAACAAATGAATAAATAAACAAATAAATAAATAAATAGATTGGTAGATAAGTAAAAAAATTAATGAATAAATCGTTTGAATGGCTCGTTTGCAATAAGTGTAAATATAAATTAAAACGATGATGCTATTTTTCTAATATCCAATTATTCGAAAAAGAAATTATGCAAAAGAACAAGGAAATAATCGAAAATTTTATGGATTTTTTGAAAATACAATTGTCATCAAAGCTATTGAGCGAAATAGCGAAATAGCGTAATGTATATATATATATATATATATATATATATATATACACATATATATTCATATATATAATTAAAGCGGATACAATTAAAACAATTATGAATAAATACTACGTTTAAACTACAGAAACAAAAAGTGCGCACTTGCTGTGAATTAAAAGTAGTAAAAGAAGTAAAAGGAACACTGAATGTGCAGTCCAATTCACAAACCTGTGATAGTGATGGTAAATGCAATGAGAACACTTGTAAAGTCGGCTATCGTGCATTTTTAAATGAACACCCATTTTTTCTAAGGCTATGTTTTGGGCTAAGTCCTGGCCACTCGGCGGCGGGCAGTGGGGGCACCGAAAGTACACCTCGTCCGAGTGCAACGCTTTTAAGTGATGTCGCAACATCGCTTCCTCGACCGTTAAGTAATTGCATTCCGGCACTCCGCAGACGTATCTGACAAATTCACATTTCATATGGTCACACACAGAGCTGTACGTTATTGTATTAAATTGTTTTTCAGACTCGGGGTGGGGCGGGGAGCTTGCCGCCCAGGAAAAAAATTATATATACGTGGCAATGATCGATAATCAAGTATTCGTATAAAGCAGCAGTGCGCGCGCGCGCATCCGATGAACGATGTTGGATACTCGTGGCGGAAGTTCGTGCTCTTTGAAAGTATGCGTGTGTCCGGTGTGGCTTCGCGTCCATGGATTATTAGGCTGTAGCTTTAATGAGATATGCGACTTACAGTACGATTAGACGTGAATAATATTTGTAACCGCGTTAAGCTGCCTTAGATGCTCGATCGTTGACTGCTGTTCAGCTTAAGCTCTCGATTAGTCGATCTTGATAACAATTATGAATCGCATGGACATTGAGTGATTGATTCAATGAAAATGAGACGATAGAATAGTGTCGAGTCACTTTCACCTAACAATGTGCTTGATTTTAATGGCGTCGAGCTATATTATATATCTTCTGTAAAAAAGTGACAAGTACCTTTAACTTTATGATATTTTAATTGTTTTTCATCGCGTATTACATAAGTTAAAGATGCTTTGCATTTTTGAACAAGTGAATGATCGATTGTATTTTGTTTTTCTTCATTTATTTTTCTTTTTTTCTTTTTGAAAGTACCATACCAAAATACTTGCTTATTAGCACAACTAATGTACGAAATAATAAATACGTATGATTTATTTCCAATCGTATATAATATTTTTCTCCGGGCTGGTAATACAAAAAAATTTCAATTAACTTAATGAAAACAATGATTATTAGAACAAAAATCTCTTATAAGAGAATGCGATAAATACATTAAGGAATAACATGGACATTTTTGCAATATCATTATCTGTAAATTAATAGAGATTTTAATATTTATGTTAAATATAACATTCTAACACACATCCCTGTTGACAATCTTTAAGGCAAAGATTTAAAGAATATAATTTTTATATATTACTTGAACATAAAAAAAATGTGTGTTCGTTTTGTTGTCAAATTGATTAGGAATTACAATGATTTACATAATAAAATTTAATTTGCGCTTTAATCTCAAGTAATTTCTAATTTATACTAAATATGTGTAAGGTTTGTGAATAAATAAAATATTCGGCCTTAACGTGTATTTATAATATCATACAGTTAGTACATTAATACTGTATTTATCAATTTTTACGTTTCATACTCTTCGTAATAAATAAAACAAAACAAAAATTTATGAGAGCTCTCGGGTAAAAATTTAATATCCTACATTGAAAAATGATTGAGATCGATGATAATATTTTGTTTTATAAATACGTGCATGAGAAAATTAATAAATGATTTCCATATAAAATGTAATATATATATATATATATATATATATATATATATATATGTATATATATTACAGAATGTAGCATGTATAACATGTTTATACATTGAAATTCAGATACATACTCTTAGAAAATTTTATTCAGTAAAATTGAACATAAAGAATAATTTTATTTAAAAAGTAATATTTCGTTTTATTCAATTTCAAGATCAGTAAATTGAAAGTGATAAAAATTGTTATTGCTATTTATTATAGGTTTTCTTTCTTTTTTTTTCTCAAACCAATACAAATATTTTAAAATTTTTAAATTAAATATTTTAAAGTCTGTACAAATTTTTTGCAAAGTCTAAAGTTTATATTTTAAATCTTAACTCGAGATCATGCTCCTCATAATAGTTAGCACAAAGTTATTTATATAGAATTTGTAATGTATTAATTGTTGCAAAAGAAAAGAAAAGGAAAAACGGGATAGGAAAACTGAGAGAGAGGAGAGAGGAGAGAGGAGAGAAAAGAGAAGAAAAGAGAAAAGAATAGAGAAGAGAAGAGAAAAGAAGGAAACAGTAAAAAAATTGCTAGTCGACACTAAAATTACATATAATTAACAAAATAATGGCAAAACAAGTAATAAATCAATCCACTATAATAAACACGAATAAATGATCTCCGCCAAGACCGAGTCACATACTCATACTATTTACAGGTAAATTAGTGAACAGGAAAATAACAATACACGTACGCGTATAAAGCGTACACAAAATAATATAATAAAATCAATCTTAAAACAAAAGAAAACAAGATTATATGTATAGGTGGTAGTGGTGGTGGTACGTGGTGGGAGTGCGCGGGGCAGCGCGTACCTTTGATTCTCAGGAACGAATTTTGGTAGCACCTCGTCCTCTTCCTGCTTCATCGCGTCCCTGTGCGCGGCTGCGGCACTCACGCCCCCGCTCATCCTCCCGTTCTCGTGCGAACTACTGGCCAGATTCACCATCTTGTCGAACATCCGCTCTTTCTTATCGAGACAGGGCACCGGGTTCACCGGGCTCGAGTCCGGCACGCTCTCGTCCTTGAGGTGAGCCTGCAGGTGCCTTACCATGTTCGTGCGCACCTTGTTGCTGTAAGGGCAAACCGCACACTGCACCGCTCGAATGTAGATCGCCTGCAGGGGCAGCTTCTCGATCTCGCTTGGCCCGTAATTAAGCTTCTCCATTTCCATGAGCTTAAGTGCGTCCTTGTCCGCGGCGGCCTTGTTCATCTTCTTGCTCTTCAGCCTGTCCGCCGTTGTCTGTAACACGCGGTCGGCGTCACGCCACGTAAGTTTAACATCTCGTGTCAAGGACGACGTTCACTCCCTCATCCCCCCCCCTAAATTTCGCGCGCCATTTCACAATCTCGCAGAGACACGGCTTCACGCATCGCCGAATTGCGTTTGCTCTACTTGTGGGGTGGAATGCCAATAGTTTTGGCCCTCCAACTTATATGACGCAATAGCCAAATCAATAAACTTTTTACAATAAAAGCAAAGAAAAAGCCTCGATTAGATGCATTAAACGGCTTGGTTGCAACCGGTTATCCTCCTCCTCCCCCCTCCCGCCCACCCGCCCAAACACGGGAAGAATTATTGAGTTTCGATCGCAAGGAGTAGAAGCGTAGAATTGTCGTGTCCACTCACCATGGGATGAACGTAAAATAGTCCTGATGGCGAGGGATTGGTCGGGTCGGCTGGCACGATTCTCGAACTGACGTACTTGTGCTTGGCTCGAAGATGAGACTGCGCCTGACTCTGGACGGCGAATCTCGCGTTGCAGACGGCACAGCTGAAGCGCTTGAGGCCGTGCGTCCTCAAGTGATCTATGAAGAAGGATGGCTTGCTGAAGCGCTTGCTCGAGGAGCCGCAATGTACGCAGTAAAGGGCCGAGTCGCCGCCGTCCTCGTCGTTGGGGCTGCATTGTTGCATATGCTGGCGTAGTTCCTCGGCGGTCTCCGCGGAGTACGGGCAGGAGTCGACACCGCAGCGATAGAGCTCGCGACCGCCGAAGCCCGTACCCTGCACGTCCTCGATAGTGAGGAAGCGGTCGATCGAACTCGGCACCTCGATCGCTGGGTCCCGGCTCGGGCTTGGGCTCGGGCTCGGGCTCGGGCTCGGCTCGACATTCACGAGGCTCGTCCGCGGTGACGAAACTCTTGCTTCCAGCTCAGCCTCTTTAATCAGCGACTCTTCTACCGCCTCCTCCTTTATATCATCTTTTTCTAACATCATCGGCTGGAAATCAATCATGGGGATGGCGTTTCTTTACGTCAACATTACCACGATCTTGGCCCAACGGCCTCACTACTAATTCTCATGCACGTGTAATGATTTGAAGTACATGTTGTTTATTTTTTGTTTTTCTTTTTTTTTTCTTTTTTCTTTTACATTCATTATCATTTCAAAGCCATCAACAATACCGATTAACAATCAATCCCTATTATCATATTATAATAACCAGTAGATTATAAGGGAGATAATAAATAAATCATATTGTCGTGCTACTTCCGACTTAAAATATCGTAAATACATAGATCCTCGTAGATTTAAATTTATAATTCGGATGGCATTGTTCTGGCGCTAATTAATATAACGTTTTGTGATTGTTTGAAGAAAGTAATAAAGCAGTTTCTTACCTTTTCGACTAACATATCGGTTAATTGATTCGTGTAGTCTTCAATTATCTCGACATCGCTGTCGTAGTCCTCGACTTTGTTCTCATCTTGTTTCGTTTCAACGACCATTTTTTTGCCGGACAGCAGCTCGGTATGATCGAGCAAATTCGTATTGACGAATTCACTCTCGCTATCCGGATCAATTTTATGAAATCCAAACTGATTGTTGGCATTTAAATTCTGTACATCGGACACAGTCACCTAAAATTGCAATGTCTTGTACAAAAATTCCCAAGCCATCCATCCATCCCACAAAGCATTTAAATATTTCCAAATATTTTCCTAGAGTTACTACTTGTGTACTTGTATGTGTATACTTGTATGTACTACTTGTCATTAATCGACGATTAGATTCTTATAAAAGCACCAAGAGCTCACCTTGATATTCTTTCCAATATTGAGCAGACTGGTGGAAGTGGAATTGAGACTGCGCGCGTCAAGGATACGAATGTTCGAGACGCTGTTGTCGAGGTTGGTGAGAGGCACGTAGGTGCTGTTATCCTTCGGGGATATTATTTTCGCCGTCATAATGGGTGCGTTCGGAATCAACGAGACGGCACTACCCGTACCCTTGATACGCGGTGGTATCGCCACCTTGCCGAGCTCTTCGTCGAAGGCACCCTTACGTTGTCGGAATATCGCATCGACATCGCGCACCCGCAACTGTTCGATTGCGCTCAGGTTCTTCGATATCTGTAGGCAATGGAATTATTTCCAAGTAATTTGTGTTTATTTGCGCGAATAAGCTATTCTCGGCAAAGTTCTAATCATCGCGTTTAAAATATTGATACGCTTACGACTTATGTCGCTCAGACATATTTCTCAAGCGAGAATTTACGTGACATTTACGTTCGTACGTGTGACATATTTATTAATCAAGGGAAAGCGAGGCGCTTCACCTTACAATTTTAAGAATATCTCTTTTATAGTAAGCGGAAATGATGTAATGTAAAAAAACTTTTATTTTTCAATCCCGAGAAATGCTTTCAAGTATGTAAATTTAGGGGGATTCAACGTATTAAGAAAAGTTAAGAAGCAAGTTAAATTAAGTTAAATTAAATTTAAAAATTAGAAGTTAATTTAAGCGAAGAAGCAACGTTGTATTGGGACTGATCGGAGAATTTAGTCTTCTTATAATAGTCTCGTTAAATTTGGTCAGTTTGTGTTTGGTTGTTTTCTTATTTTGTAAATTGTTTTAGTTACCTCGCGTGGCAGACATCTTTCAAGCACATGTGGTGGCTGATTATAATGCGATGAACTAAGATGATTATGCAAATCTTTTATAGATGCCGAACCATGTGAACAATACATGCAATGGTATTTGAAATAACCATGTTGCTTATAATGCTGAAAGGAATTATCTTAATGTTATTCTTAAACTCTAATGGTGCACAAGAGAAGAAATTATTTTTAAAGTTATTACAAGTTAAGATTATAGTATTGCCTATAATTTACATTATATTCTCTCTCTCTCTCTCTCTCTCTCTCTTTTTTTTTTTTTTTTTTTTTTTAACGAACACACTCAAAACAAGTTTTTAACTGATTATAAAGTATACCTCAATGAGACTTTCTACAGTGTGCACCAAACTTTGGCATATGTGACATTTGAAGCCAGATGTTATATTTGTATGGTGCATATTAAGATGTAGTACAAATGCCTCGGGTATGAAGAAGTATTTATTACAATCTAAAAATGAAAGAATATATGTTTAATATTACTACTCTTGTTACCGATAATGATAGAAAAGGTATCCTTTAAACAGCTTAATTTTTTAGATGAACCTACCATGCACACAAACGTAGGGTTTAATGATTTGTTTACGTTCGAGTCTTTTGGGAGGTGGTGGTAATTGTACGAGTTCTTCGCTGACAACAAGAATGTGTACTCGTTTCATTTGATGATAAGTTTTCTGTTGAATAATACGTTACGCTTAGTCGTTTGTTTAATTCTTTGTTAATTTAATTCTTCTACCATACAGACTTGTTCATTTATTTTTCTGTTTTGGATAAATAAGTCCACGGAATACCGAATAGATAATACAATATTTACGGCCCTTAATACAGATATTGCGGTAACAATGAAATGTTCGAAATTTTTAGTAACATGGATTTGGCAAACGTTTAAATATTACGAATGAAAGCCCAGCGACATCTTTAGATATGCAAATGTACAGAGCATATGAAAACATTGTAGTGAATCCGTTAAATTTTTCGGATATTGTATGCTTTAACGATAAAAAAAAAAAAAAAAAAAAAAAAAAAAAAAAAAAAAAAAAAAAAAAAAGAGGAAAAAAAAAAGAAAAGAGAAAAACCTCTTTTCATATATTAGATAATAAAATTACGTATAAAATTACAGAATAAACAGTGAAATAACAACAAGGCTTGTTCGGTACTTAATTCTTGTTTACTACAGTGTAACATCGTACCTGATGTATTTCAACATAGGAGTAGGCAAAGGCTCGATAGAAGCAGTATTTGCAACAGTATCTACAGAAGATGTGCATCTTTTTCAAATGATTTATCAGCTCCTCGTAGGATTTGCAGTCGATATAACAATAGGCACACTTGAAGTAATCCTTACAATCACTGTTAATAATCTTATTGACAATGTCGTCCTCGTGTAATCTCAAATGCTTGTTAAATGCTGGCTCGTTACTAGTAGTGAAAGAGCAGTCTCGGCCCATACATTTGAACATATGTATAAGCTTGTCATCTTTCAGCATTTTCTCATATATGTTAGCTGATTTGAGTTTTATGGCTACAGAGACCTGCTCTGGTGAAGCTATCTTGACAAGTTTGAAGGGTTGGTTGGCCGATGTCACGAGACTCGTAGGCGTTGAACCTGCCGACGCTACTGCCAGTGGTGTCGCTATACCTTTGGAATCAATTTTTATAGCTACAGTTGGTTGTCCGCCAATGGATATATAATTTTCTGGCTTTGCCACGGGTCTTGAGGTAGGAGGTATATTTAGTGGAATGAGCTTCACCGTTTCTCCAGAGGAGCTAATAACTGATCCACTGCTGTCGACTCGTTTCAAAATATAAGAGCTTGGTTTTTTCAAAAGTGACATGCCTTTGCCTTTCTGTGGCGAAGTCTCCACAGCTTTACGAATGTTTGATACCTTGTTCAGAATATTCTTTCATTATCAAGAAAATTAAGCAATTTTAAAAGCAAGCTTTGGCTAACTATACACCAACAATTAAACGGTTTCTTTTTTCTCTTTATTTTTTTAAAACTATTTGTTAAAAATCATTGTTATGATGCTAAATATTGAACAGTTAATATAACAGTGGCAAATGTAGTTGAATCAATTTCATTAACTCAAGAAATAATTAAATATTTAAATCATATTCATTGAAATTAAATAGATATTAATTTACTTGGCTTTGGTGATATTTAAATTTTTTTTTTTTAGAACATATAAAATCAAGTAAAGTATGTTACACATATATATAAATTTTCAGATTACAAATGAATATTTTAAATTTGTTTTTAGTGTTATCTTACATAGAAAAGAAAAAGAAAAACAAAAAAAAAAAACAAAAAAAAAACAAATAAACAAACAAACATCATTTGTATACTTGTAAATAAAATGATAAAAAGCAGGATTAACTTATGCATTGATGATAATAATTAATTTAAGCATTAAGAGTAATAGCATTTTAGGATGAAATAAAAAAAATATTTTATACAAAGGAAAAAAGTAATGGAAAAATTCTGGACCTTAATTATAGACAAATGATTCAATTAATTATTTATAACCAAGTGCTTAAATATAAAAATCATTGTAATATTTATGTTCTATTTTTAAAAAAGTTGAATTTTTGATTTTTTAAGTGATTTCATCATACTAGTGTTCTAATTACAGAGTCTTACAAAATGGATTTGTAAGGCTAATTAAAATGAAATTGATGGAAGAAATGTACATACACAAAAATAAATATATATAAATGTACATGCTTATTTAAGTTATTTAAAATTTTTACTCATTACCAAATAATACAATAATTTTTATTTCTACAAAAAAATATACATATAGCATAGCATTCCGGGTTTTATATAAAACAAAAATGTTCTAATATTTTTTATTTTTTTCTTTACAATGTGCCAAGCGATGAACTCTATAAATACTTTATGTATAATTAAGTTAAATAATTTACTAATTTATAGTTTAGTGATTAAGTATGTTTTTATCATTATTAATGGAACTTCATATTTAGTTAATAATATGCATATATTCTTTCATTTCTATAAGAAATTTTGTTCTTCAAGGTAGAATTTAGTGTGATTAGTATATTATTGGGTACCTGGTACTGGATTACTTAGAGATTTTCATTAATAGATAATTAGGAATTGGGAATGGACAACTTTTTAGTTTAAATAGTTATAATGGTTAACAGTACTTCACATGCAGTAGTCTACATGGATATAGTTATGCATTAAATTATAAATAGCTAAATAAAAAAAAAAATAAAAAAAAAATAAAAAACATAATATATTTATATTATAAATAATTAAAAATGGCTTATAATTACTAATGATAATTCGTGTAATGAAAATGTGTTGTGCGTCTATATATAAATAGTACAAGAGTATTTTATATAATTTCGTACTATATTTAGATAATTTAAATTCAAACAATTTGAAATTTAATCGGAGCCAATGAAAATACAGCAAGTAAAATTTTAAGTATAATTATTAATAATTAGTATAAGTATATAAAAAAAATTTCATTTTATACCATAAGTTTTTTAATTTATTATTTGAATTTTAAATCATTGCTGAAAGTAAAATTACAATTGACATCTAATTGACATTCTAAAACTGATTAATATAATTAATTGTGATAATAGAAAATTAATATTTACCATTTGAGTTTCACTTTCTTTTTGAGCAAGACTGACAACATTTGCGATCTTTAAAAATCCTGTATCATCTTCGCTGGCATTAGGATCAAGAGGTTCGATAGTGGCCATTGAATTCGATTGGTCGCTATCTGTAAAACAGCGATTTTTTTTTTTTTTTAAGAAAATATACGAGAAGAAAATTAAGATTTATTTAGAGATTTTAATTTGATTAAAATTAAACTAATGATACTGCATCGTTCAAAATCATAATAGACAATAGATTAAGTGATAAAATAAATTTGACAACATGCTGACAACATGATAGTTATATTAATTTTGTTTAAACAATTAATTTTCTCGAAAATTGAGAATTACATAGAGAACTGTATTCCCTATAGATTAGGTAGTACTTACCATTAATTGTTGAAAATTCTTGATCACTCCCCTTCGAGAGTTTATCTCCACTGATTCTTCTAATTCTAATAAATGTCTTTGGTGATTGAGGACTAGATTGTTTAGATGATAAATCTTCATCCGGTAATTTTAGCTCATCGTCGTCAGTTCTCTGAAAAAATTCAACGTAATTGAATTAGATATAAATCTTTAAATTATTGATAAAGCCATAGGCAATAAATTTAATTAAATGTGGCAAGATTTTTTTTCAAGTCAAAGTAACGATATAATGTTCATATTATAATGACTAATTTATAATTGAAATTTAATCTATCTTAATAAAAGGAACCTTTTGAACAGTGGAGTAAAAGAACCCCCCCCCCCCCACCCCCATAGGTGTTGCACATGAGTAGCAAAAATAAGCTTAAATTATAATAATTGATTACTTATCAAGTCTTATACATGTAAATACATGATAATTAATTATTATCATATTAATTGAACGAGGGGTCAGGTCAGTGTGTTAAGATGGCAGCGAAATGCAGTGGCACAACGAGACGGACGTGTCATGCGGATCTTGACGACGGATTCTCACCAGTGGAGAGCTGGGCTCGTCCTTCACCTCCTTCTTGACGAAGGCAGGCGAGATGACGGCCATGTCCTCGGCGAGCTTCTTGGGCGATATCCGCTCCTTCTTGATAATGAGTTGCTCGGGCACTTGGGCAATCACGGGCTCGGACTCGAGTAGCGAGCTCGTCTCAAGGGGCTTGGTGTTCTGTAGCTGAGCCGCGAGTCGCTGGATGGTCGTCATCATGAGACCCTTGGACGGCGAACGCATCTCCTCGGTGCTCTGGAGTATACTCGTCACGTCCGTAGCGATCTCGTGATCCGACTGCTCGCCGCTCGTGTCCGACTCGTAGCTGACAGGGTCGACGGGCGGCGGTTCCGTGTCGCTCGGCTCCTCGTCGCTGTTCTCATAACCCGAGCTGCGCAGTATCGAAAAATCGAATTCAGAGATTATTATCGTCTTCTAGGCGCCAAATCGAAATGCAAACAAGCTCACGTTCGCGGTCACGAGCGCGCGCCCATTTACTCTCCAATGCGCAATCGAACATTAACATCGAAGAGGACGGGAGTTTGGTTAAGCTGGTGAAAGGATGGAGCTTAAATATAAGCTTAAATTGAGCAAGCTTAAGGAGTAGGCTTCCTTTATAGTAACATGATAAGTTATGTCGGGTATACTGTGAGAAATCAAATTTTTTTTAACATAATATCATGGCACAATGTTTTTCTTTACAATATGACAAAATTCACCATTAGATCTCTATAGTTTGGATAGTCGAAGAATTCTGATTAATTTCTTTCCTTCAATCAACAAGTTCCTTTAATATATCCTAAAAGAACTTAGCTCTCAATCTTTATAATTTAGCGTTGTTTTATTTTGTTTTTAGGCTTTAAGTTTTTTTTTTTTTTTTCATTTTTTTCTAACATAAAATCTTAATAAAATGTAATTTACAGTTCAAAGTCATGGTCTGTCTTCGGTTATTAATGATGAAATATGAAAATATTTTGATAATAGATGAGAATTGGTTTTATACATTACCTCTTAATGGGCTCATCGACAAATGATAGAGGATCTTTTATCTTTGCACCGGTCTTATCCTCCTCGGTAGATCTCGGTGCATCCGGATCATCTTTAATTTGGACCGATTCTGGATGTGACGTCGCACTCTCTTTAGCCTCGGATTTGGACACGGGCTCCTGCTGTTCGGATATGTGAAGTGGATCAATGACATTATCCTCCAGGATTGGCTCGGGCGGTACGCTCGGCTCCACGGCTGGGATATCCACTTTCTCGGTGACGACATTATCCTTCTCGTCTACGGGCAATGACGTATCCATTTTATCCTTGAGTTTATCGATTATCGATAGTCTCTTCTGGCCTTCATCCTTATCCACTTTAATACCGATGTTCTCCGCGATCTCCTGCATCTTTTTCTTGCGCTCGTTCTGTATTTCAACGTCCTTGTCCTCGAGCTCAGCCGCACATACAAAGGCGCTCAAATTACTACTCTTCTCCGATTTTTCGACCTTTTGTGCCCTGTGCTCCGTCGTTTCCAGCATCAAACGAATTTCAGAATCCTCCATTAAAGATTCGGCCTATAATTAGACGCAATTTTGTTGCCATTTAACAATAATTTAATAAACACTTGTTAATTAAAATTCGATTAAATTATATTCAACTATGTTTCAAAATCTTTTTACTATTAACTTAACAGTTAATTGTGAATGTGAGCTTGACACGAAAAAAAAAAAAAAAAAAAAAAAAAAAAAAAACAAAAAAACATAAAAACATAAAAATATAAAAAAAAAATCAGAAAAAATAATTATATTATAGCAAATAAACGATTGTTTTTCGCGAAAAGCAATCGAAACTCCAATTAAAAATAATTATTATATTCACCTCAATGGTATTGGCAATGATATCTTGTTGCTCGCTTTTATTATCAGGTACAGCAGTATCCGCGCTCGACTCGTTCTCACTCTTCCGCTCGAGCAAGTCGAGCACAACCGCAGCTTTATTATCTTCGTTTTCAACCTTCACCTTGACGCTCGTTTCTTCCTTCTTAAGATTCAGCGACATGTCGATTTTGACGATCTTCACCTCCTGCTCCGTGCTCTTCCCGTGCCACATCCTCGCGTGCTTCTCGACGTTACACCTCTTCAGTTGCACGTAATTGCATTTAGAGCAAAGGTAACCGTACACCCTGTCCTCGTTGGGCATCGGTGATTCGATCATCGCCTCGTTGAAGCTCTTGGTGGTAGAGTACTTGCGGCACTCTTTGTAATAGTGGGTGCGTATCGAGCCCCGGGCTACGGCTTCGTAATTACAGTTCATGCAGGAGAAGCGGTACTCGCCCGTATGGTTGGTGCAGTGCTCGTAAAAGCTTTCACGGGCGCTGTTGTCCATACCCTTGGTAACGAAGTTGCAAAAGCGGCAGCTGAATTTTACAGCGCGCTTGTTTGGCTCCCCGGGCGTTTCTTTGCTCGCAAGCATCGACGGCGTCGACTCCTCGATCGCCAGTTGGGCCTCGGCCACGGGTAGACGCGATATCAAGACCTCCTTCTTTGGGTGCTGCATTTTGTAATGGTGAACGATGTTCTTGCGATAGAAAGTGCAAAGTAGGCACTGGTACTTGTCGGTACCGAAAAGGGTGTAGCCGATGAGGGCGTCAGCGTCGACTCGCGAGGTTAAATCGTCGTCGTCGTCGTTCGCGTTCCCAGTTGACTTCCAGCTCGAGTCTTCCTCGTCGTTGAGCTTGTCGAGGCTTTCCGTCCGATCGATGGACGAGTTGAGCTTCTTGTCGCTCGAGCTCGTCGTGTCGCTCTCTTTGGAGAGCAAGTCGGTCTCGTTGCTGATGGACGAGTCCGCCACCGACTCGTGGCTCGTGCTCTCGTCGGCCTTGCTCGAGCCACTGGCTTTCTTTCTTTTCTTTTTCGACAGTATGCCTGTCGAATCATTCGAGAGGGCTAGCGTTAGGGAAGTAGTCGTTTAACTAGTTAGTAGTCTTTGGCATAATGGATCGGTTTCCATAAAAAAAAATATAATTTATTCTATCTTAAACATACGAGCTAAGGTAAAGCTTAATATTTTGAGAATTATGCGAGAGAGGATTGTAGTTTCTAATATCTCGGATAATAATCGTCTTCCCAATGTGCTGCTGCCCGACAGACTGTTTTGTTAATTTTTTTTTTCACACGGAAAATGATGAAAGATTCGTCAAAAGTGCAAAAAGGCTTTCATCTACATTCTATTATTAATTTTTAAAAGTTTTATACATTTTTATATGCACGTAATTAATCGATACTTACTTTTCGGCGTTTACAGTTTCGAATTTATGTTAATTTTTTATTCGTTATAGATTATTAAGTGATTGTACATATTTATTACGTATTATATAATTTCTCACTATAGAAACTACAAAATTAAAAATCGTTTTAAAATTCCAACAAAATATTAAACTTTGGTAAAAAAAAATAAATATTTATTACTATAATTTATAGTATAATATACTATTAACTTAATAGTGTCAAAGTTATTTGGCAATTTTTTATCATACAAGAAATACAAATTTTGCATAAATTATTCATTATATTGAATAAAATTTTGAATTCATGATAGGAATGACACGGTGATTTACTGTGTTTGAAGCATACTCAGCAATCATCTTACGATATTTTTATCTAAAAAATCATCTTAAAATTGCCATATATGCACATAAGTAGAAATTTGACAATACAAAGAATCTCGGTAAAATCTTTCAATTTTATGAATGTGAATCAATAATTAATTTTCAAATGCTATAACATACCCATTTGCCAATTGTTCTTTTTCTTCTTAACTTGTTTCTTCTTTGCCATCGAGTACTTGGGATTAGTTGCTAATTCTGCCATTACATCGTCGAGAAGTTCCTGGTTACTGTCACGCTGTTTTGCCGTTATATCCAATAACAGCGACGATGACGCATTTGAAACAAAACTCTCATCCGATGATGATTCTACAGCTGATTGATAAATATTTAATTTAATTCTATCTTATTTTTAAACAGTTTGAACGACATCACAAAATAAATATCTTTAATGTACAAGTAAAATTAAATTAATTAAACTATTTTTTCCTATTTATCATTAATTAAATTGGTGGTAATTAAAGTGGTAGCTAAATTTAATTTTAAAGCGTATGTCGTAACCTAATGAGGATAGATTAAAGCGCAAAATGGTTTCATTCGAGCATACCAATTATATATAATTAGGGCTTTTAATTTTTGAACATTTAAAATTTTAATTTATAGGTGATATTTATCATATAATAACAAATGATTTAAATAATATCAATAATCTTTAAATCTGTAGAATACCGCATCTTTTCAGTCATTCGCTTTTCAGCATTCAAATAATAGTCTAGAGTTCTAGAATTCTACATTGTGCAATTAGCAGCACCTTTACGATTTATAAATAACATTAATAAGAATATATAATTAATAAATAATAACAATGAATGCGCGAATAAAGTCCTATGTTTTATAAAACAAAATTAATTTCAATACGTCGATATTCTTTGCCAAATTAACGTCGACAAAAGATTTCAAATTATTATAGGCAAATTATTATTATAATAATATAAGATACGGTGTTGACGTATATAATGAAGCGACTGAATACAGCTGCAAAAGAAATCTTGTATGCACCGATAAAATAGTTATAAAATCTATCATACCAGCATCGGTTACAGATGTCTTTTTGGAGCCTTTCTTAAGATTTTTTCCTTTAGCGACGATAGCTTTCTCACTGGAAGTTGTGTCGGGATGAAGAGATATATCGGTAGTGGGCTCGACCACCGAGGGATCGAGGTTGAAGCTATCATTGGAGGAGCTGTCGAACAACGGTAGCGACGACTTTTGGATATTCTTCGAGCGTTTAACCTTCTTCCCCGTCTTCTGGGTCGTATCTTTCTTTGCCTTTGTGATTGGCACGTCAATACTGATACCTTCGGATCTGCGCGACAGAGGCACATCATCTTCTTCGCTATTTGAGCTTACGAAGAGATTCGGGATGGGTTCGACTCTCTTTACTTTTGCCTTAGATTTCGTTGACTGTGCTTTCTTCGTCTTTCCAGCTTTAATAAAATCGACACAATTATGCTCATTTTGTTATCGTTAACTTAATTCTTTTTTATTATTAATCTACGGACAAATCTGCACGATTTAACCAATTTTATTACGACAGCATTCATCTTACTCGACAAATTACTTTTCAATTACTAATACACCATTCTTTTATACAATTTATAATGAAGTATTTTTTCAACTCTTTTCAGCACAATAACACATACTGTGATTAGAATTCGATAGGGAAAAAAAATAAAAAAAATAAAAAAAAAAAAAAAAAAAAAAAAAAAAAAAAAAAAAAAAAAAAAAAAATAATAAGAATAATAAATAAAATCGCTAAGATAACATAGTTAATAAACGAAAATAATTAAGAATTTTAAAAAATTTGTCGGGTGTCTTGAGCGACCATACAAACCATATTCAACTATGACCTTCTAAGCTTAAGAAATAATAGCTGACTAACCCGTAGTGCTTTTAGCAACAGGGGTGGTTTGCTCCTCGTCGACCACTGGCTGCTCCGGTTGCTGCTCCAATGCCTTATTCTTCTGGCTACAGGTACGACTACCTGTCGCCTTCATCGCACCGTCGCATATCCAGCTGGACTTGAGGTCTTCCTGCAGCATATCCAGTTCCCGCAAGCGACGTTTCGGCTTAATTTTGACAGGAGCTTCGATGGTATCCTTTGCAGCCCCGGTGGCGGGTTGAGCGATAATTTTATCGCTACTATTATCTTTCTTTTCGGTAGTTGTTGGTTCGACATCGAGCAGGTCATCCTTATCGGCAGCTACTAAGAATTTCAAGAATTTAATTAGACATTTCAGGGCTTGAATAATCGATTAACATTGACATTCAAGTTAAGAGTTGGTATGTTTTAGTGGAGCCTTCGTTTAAATACGATTATGAACCGAATAATGTAATTATTCGTTATAATTAAGTAATAGCTCAAGTATTCATATAATTTAAATAGAAAAAATCGTTTAATTTGGAATACAATAATGCAATAATTATAATAAATCTTACAAGATTGTTGAGCGAGCAGTGTCTTAGCTTTCTGTTTAGCGCCTCTCTTTTCCGTAGCATTAGCCACTTTTCCTTTCTTCTCCCTTGTTTTCTTTTGTTGTTGTTCCACTTTATTCTCGTTACTCAACCTTCTTTGATTCGATTTTCTTTTTTGTCTGCCTTTCTTCGAAACTGTCGCCGGGGGTGTTTCAGGGTTTGACTCTGATTCTTCCGATGATGATTTGATTATTTGCTTCTGTGATTTTTTCTTCTTTTTCGTTATCGTTTTCTTTGCCGACTGACCTCGCTCGTCGTCACTATCCTCCTCTTCGTCCTCATCCGACGAATATATCACAGTCTTTTTTGCTTTTTTCTTTTTTAATTTTTTCATGAGCTCCTTAACAAGACTTGATAGATCATCTTTCGATAAATTGTCGGTCTCGGCAAGCTTTTTAAATAGCTCCATTTCATCAATACCTTTGGATTTTTTACGCTCTTCTATTGTATCGGACGAACTTTCAGCTTCTTTATCTACATTTTTCTCTTTTTCTTTGTCTTTATCAACCGTTGATTTTTTGGTTGTCGTAGTTTCATCTTGTTGCTTATTAGTGGGTTCTTGATTGGTCGAGGATGAAGAGACTACATCTTCGTCATCCCAATTCTCCTCTGACGCCTAAAATAAAAAAAAAAAAAAATTATAAAACATGTTAATTACTTGCATTTATAATTATAATAAAATATAAGACTTAATTAAAATTACAATACAAGCCAATAATACGTTATGTTTTCTTAAAATAATACGAATTTGTTAAGAACATGATCTTACGCAATTTAAATAATTACCTAATATATATTTATATATATATATATGTAAACATAAATTTATGCTTTTATTTACTGCCAAAATATATAATAACGATAAACGAAGTTTTTACAATTTCCTATATGCTTACTTGTATGTACTCTTGACGTGCTTCGATGGACGGTCTCTTTTTAGGTATCTTGAACTTTTGTAGACCTGATCCTTTAACAGCCTTCTTCGCATCTATAGTGCCATAAAGTTCCGTCAGAGGCGATTTCATTGACTCTCTGGACTTGGTCTTCGATTTATCTTTATCCTTATCTTTACTTTTGTCCCTGTCCCTCTCCTTCTCTTTATCTCTATCTCGGTCCTTATCTCTATCTCTGTCCTTATCTCTATCTTTGTCCTTATCTTTTGTTTTCGGTACATCTAATTTCTGATGATCCGTTCGTTTCTTCGCAGCTGTAGTTGAAAGAATTATGGGGGAATAAGCCCAAATAAAGAAATGAAAATCTAATCAATCGCAAAATATCTTTGTTCTTAAATGCAATTTCGAATTAATTTAAACTTGTCTGAGAAATCAAGTAAATTTTAATCATTGAGATTTTTAAATATCCATATATTAACTTTTACTTTTATTAGTTGGAAATATTCATTTAAAATTTTTATAAAAGTATTATTATAGCCCTATAATAAAAAAAAAAAAAAAAAAAAAAAAAAAAAAAAAAATTGCGAGAAGTTTAATGTTAACAGTAATGATTGGAAAGTCGCCACATCATTTGCGAAAGTGTCCCTTGATTTATTTGATTAGAAACAGACGTGGCGATACGTACCGGCATCCTTTTCAGCAGCAGCGGTAGCCGCTGCAGCTGCCGCAGCTTGTTTCACCAGCTTATTTGGATGCACCTCTTTACCGGCTGGTACGACTTTCAGGAGCGCTTCCTTTGCGTGAAACGGCGGACTTGCTGGCTTATGCACCTCTGTCCGCATTCTTGGATCTCTGTCCGAGGTCACCCTTGGATCCCTGGAGTCTCTAGGGTCTCTAGGATCTCTGGTAATTCTCGACTGATCCTTGTTGTTCCACGAGTTGGGCGGCCCCCCGGGTCTCACGAACTGCAGATTGGGTCTGCCCTGGAACCGCTCCGAGTCGACACCCATTCGATTGTTCCAATTTGGTCGAATTCGTTGGAAATCATTGGTACCTTGTGACTGATGATCGTATTGCATGTCGTAGGGCGGTCGACCTTCCGAATAATTGGAGTATTTCGGTGGTGGACCGAAATTTCCATTGTTACTCAGCAGAGGCTGTATGTGGCCAGGATTGTTTCGAATCTGGATTTTCGATGACAAGTTATTGGAAATTAATTATATCGATTTGTTTTTTATTTTATTATTATGTGACTATAGTAACATTCAATCGCAGCGATTATTATTATTCTTATTATTCAATGTACAATACGATTATTTCTAGTGCGCAGACAACTTCAATAGGATAAAGTAAAGCAAAATTACTTGATAATGTTATTTAAAAGTACATATCGAACTGTTCAACTGGAATTTTATCTCACCATATTTGGCTGCATCTGATTGGAGAATCCGCCAGGCATTCTATTATCGCCGTTCAACATAGAATGACCGCCCAATTCTTGGTACATGGGATTCTGCCAGCCCGACTGATCAGGCGGTCCGCGCATATTAGATGGCTGGGGCATTTGATATGAATGGGGCCCAGACTGCGGAGGTCCTTGTTGCATTTGCGGATGAGGTGGTCCGTTCCATTGCTGCTGCTGCTGCTGTTGCTGCTGTTGTTGTTGCTGCTGCTGCTGTTGTTGTTGTTGTTGTTGTTGTTGTTGTTGTTGTTGTTGCTGCTGCTGCTGCTGCTGAGGTGATTGCATTGGCCCCCCATGGCCGATATTCGAACTATTGTAAGCATCTTGATTAGGACCCATTCGGTAATCGTAATGCTTATGGGGCCCCACCATTTGATTGTGAGATATGTACGGTACTGGGCCTGAAATACGTTTAATTAATTAAATTCGATATCCTTCGTTGTTAGTAAATATAAAACGTAACAGTTGTTCTGTTTGAATTAAATAAAATAAATAAAATGTCTTACTTTAGTGAAGAATAAAAATATTTTCAACGTGTTTCTATGCGATATGTAAAATTAAATATACAACGTCCTAACAAATTATATAAAATCTATCGTTCAGATTTCCATCATTTTTACAACTAAATTATTCATCTTTTCAAATTTTATCTTCAATATTTTACGTTAAAATAAACCAATGAAATATTCAAAATTCAATACATATTAAAGTAATGTAAAATTAAACATAAAGAAAATAAGTATTACATAAACAATACAGAATTATATTATTATAATTAGTATAGAATTAGATTATAATTACATAAAGTCAAAGGTAAAAGCATCGTAAACAAATAAATTCAATAAAATTCGCTTTTTAAGGCAATATAGGATTTCAAGTTATTATACTATTAAATAAATAAATAGAAGTAAAAAACGTACATGCAAACATGTAATTGATTTTGTCACCTGGAGCAGAATTTGGAACTCCGTGCATAGGTGGTCCCATATTGGGGTTATCCTGACCGAATTGATCCATGTGTCGCTGTCTTTGATAATCATTTGGTCCCATCGATTCATGTGCTTCTCTCGGTATTGTTCTTTTGTGCCTTTCGTAATTATCCGCGTATCTTGGAATTACGCCACCGTGGCTTCGTGGATCGTTATTTATCGGAATCATGCCATGCATTCGATGAGGATTATTCTGACGCGCTCTTGGATCACCCGACATTCTGTAAATAAAATCGAGGGTAAATATGGAATGAACATTATTATTAATTTATTAATATATTGGGTAATAGATAGGCTTTGTAGCCCTCGGTTTATAAAGAAAATTTTTCAATTTCATTTTCTTCAAATTAACTATTGCAGAATTACACTTTAGAATTTGTATTTTTAAGCCTCACTATTCACGACGTGTAAATCATGGATATTAAAAAACTGTCCGTTTTTTTTTTAAATACTAGAGCCCGTCGATATATTTACTTGAAAAATACGTGTGAAAAGGATCGTGAATAATTGCTTATTACATATTTTTAAAAAATTCTTAAATTCATTTTCACTGTATTAAAATAATTAATTTTACAAAGATTGTTAAAATTTGAGCGAAATTATCAATTTACGATGGTTTTGCTCTTATTTTGATTGATTTTTAATTGTAATTAAAAAAAAAAAAAAAAAAAAAAATTGATGTAATATAAGATTATTAAAAACAACGGATTAACAATTAATGAATATTTGTAAATATATTTTTTAAGGGAATTTTAATAATGGAATAATAGAGAACTTTGCAGATATTTTATATTTAAAATTTTACGAGTACATTCAGTAATTTTTTAATGATAAAGTCTAATAAACAGTTACTTTATAATATTTAACTACATACAATTTCTTGAAATTATTGATAAAATAATCGCCTACGGTATGTTAATCCAATTATTATTATTGAGCACTGGGGCTTGCTAATTTATTGTTTGATTTATTAAAATCGCAAATAGATAGATCAAACAATATACACGTATTATCATTGTTAAATTAAATTTATGAAAAAACTTGTTCCCTATTTATAGATTTTATAATAGTAATTTTTCTATCTACTTGATCATGGGTAGATCTAGAAGAATTTGTAAATAATTAGAAATCGTTTTTAACTCTATGTGGACGATGAATGTAGTTAGTGTAATAGAAAATACATAAATGCAACTCTTTAGAATCGATAAGAATGAACAATGTTCAACGTTAAAAAAAAAAAATTGGAAAGCATAATGTATATCCATAAAATTTGTATTCAATAAAAATTTTGTTAAATTACCGTTTCAAATCTGTAATTTCTTAATGTAAATGTAAAATAGGTAATGTAATAGAAATATTGTTGTAATTACTTGGTCACCATTATAAATCAACTGCAAAAATACCATACGAGATAATAGAAAATCTATTGGTATTAAAATGTTGATTATTTAAAACATCGTAGCCACTATCTTATAAATAATTCGAAAATACTTTCGAGCTTAAAAAATTATTAACATTGGAGGCGTGATTTTTGACTAATGCAGAATGAGTTAAGGGAAACGAAGCAAAATAGCGTCTCTTATATTGAATAGAATAAAACTCAATGGGTTACCTATGATCCGGGAGACAGGGCGACAAGGAACTGGCATCGGACCTCGGACTTAGCATGACCGGCGACGAGTTAGGCATAGGCAGATGCATTCGGCTGGCTGGCCTTGGACCGCTGCTCGGTTTCAACACTGATGGATGATTGTCGTGCCTCCTCAGGCTGCTGCGCTCATTGTCATCCAAATACTCGGCAATGTCGTCGATGGCAATGGGCAGTCGCGAGCTCGTAGGCGGCGCACTCAGCAGCAGCGATGGCGTCATTGGTGCCTTGGGTATTTCACGCCTCGTCGGTGAGAACGGCACCTGCTGCTGGGATGGCGAGTGGGCCGCGAGGATATCCGGGTCCGGCGATCGGAGGCCCTCCTCCGGTACGTTGATTAGCGGCGAAACCGCTCGGTGACTCGACAGTAACCGATTCAGCTCTGCGCCCAAGAGATTCGCACTCAATGTTTTCAATGTTCTCCGACAAATACTTGATTTTGATATCGCGCTTACTTAGTGAGATCGACACTTTATAATCATTAATTTGAAATAGACTTATTATTATCATTATCACTATCGTAATCATCATCATCGTCATCATCATCGTCGTCGTCATCGTCATCGTCATCATCATCATCATCATCGTCATCATCATCATCATCATCATCATCATCATCATCATCATCATCATCATCATCATCATCATCATCATCATCATCATCATCATCATCATCATCATCATCATCATCATCATCATCATCATCATCATCATCATCATCATCATCATCATCATCATCATCATCATCATCATCATCATCATCATCATCATCATCATCATCATCATCATCATCATCATCATCATCATCATCATCATCATCATCATCATCATCATCATCATCATCATCATCATCATCATCATCATCATCATCATCATCATCATCATCATCATCATCATCATCATCATCATCATCATCATCATCATCATCATCATCATCATCATCATCATCATCATCATCATCATCATCATCATCATCATCATCATCATCATCATCATCATCATCATCATCATCATCATCATCATCATCATCATCATCATCATCATCATCATCATCATCATCATCATCATCATCATCATCATCATCATCATCATCATCATCATCATCATCATCATCATCATCATCATCATCATCATCATCATCATCATCATCATCATCATCATCATCATCATCATCATCATCATCATCATCATCATCATCATCATCATCATCATCATCATCATCATCATCATCATCATCATCATCATCATCATCATCATCATCATCATCATCATCATCATCATCATCATCATCATCATCATCATCATCATCATCATCATCATCATCATCATCATCATCATCATCATCATCATCATCATCATCATCATCATCATCATCATCATCATCATCATCATTATTATTATTATTATGTTAAATTTTTACTATTCATTATTTAATGAACAATAGTAGCGGCAATAATGATAATAATGACGACGACAATGACGATGATGACAATCATCGCGAGGATTAAAATGACATAACGGTATAAAACGATTTAAATTTTTTTATGCAATGAAAATTGTTGGATCATCTATTGCAGTAAATTTGATCACTCTAATATAGCTCTCGTTTATAAAATAAATGCGCCAATTACAATTCTTTTTATTTAATGAGTTAAATTGAAGAATCGCGAGATAGCGAATAATATAATATGAATATTTTTAATACAAATCGTGTCAATTATTTTGCGTCGATGTCACGATAATGGCGTGTAAAAATAAACTAAATCATATATAATCTATTGACGGAAAAGTAACTAACCAGGCTTGATTTCTTCCTTGCACGGGTACGTGTCACTTAGCTTTTTTACCACACTGCTTACGTCCATCTTCTGCGCGATTTCTGGACGGTCTTTAGTTGGGCCTTCGCCATCCGAGTCCCATTCGAGGAGCCCATCCTTCAGCCGGCCAATAGACCCTAGTTGCGGTACATCGACGGGCTGGGTTGGGCTCGAATTGAAATGGTACCGAGGAAAGCTGGGCGAGGACGATGCGGAATTGTTTGGCGAAGTGGCGGGGGTAAAACGCGTTCGCCGTTCCGTGGGAATGATAATGGGCGCAGTGGAAACAGTTGGCCCTTGGTCGGTGGGACTGTGTGGTGGACTTGGCGAGGCAGGGGTGTCATCGTACACCTTCTTGCGGATGAAGTTGGAGCTGCTTGTGCTGCTGGCTGTACTGCCCGGACGGTAAGACTCCGATCCTTGATAATGACTGAATCTGGAGTGCAAAAAATGCCGAGGCGCGTTAATTCGCGATCTTATGCAAATTTATTTCTAGTGTAATTGACTTGACTGTTATAATAGTAAGAGAAATATCATTTTTGAAATTATTAATTGTTATGTTATTGCTCAAATAATAATCCCGATATACTTTTTTTTTTTTTTTTTTTAATTCTTATTAAATCTATTTATTTTTATAATGTATAAATAGAAGTCTTGAGTTACGGGATTTAATTATAAAATTTAAGAGGTATTTTTTGTACATTTTATTATTTCATTGAAATGCAATGAAAAAATTGTGAATGTGAGCATAGATAATGGCGTATTTGTAATTGGACATTTTTAAAAGTTAAGAAAATTTAGAAATTTATATGTATTATTTGTTTGAAAATAAAAATTATTATTATGAAGCTGAATTATTACTTAATTATTACTTTTTTACTTACTCTTTCTTTGGTAAAATGTCTGATTTCGAACGTCGACGTTCGAAGGAATCCTGAAATATAAGATTCTGTAATAAAGTATGTAATTTCATTGTGCAAAATATCTACACGATTAATGCACAAGCACATGCGTTATACGTAATATGTTATTTTAAATAAATAAAACAATGTATAATCCTTAGATAATTATATTCTAATAATTAATTTCAATACTTTATCATTGATCTATTACAATTTTTATATAACGAAAAATTACCTGTTTTTGAATTTTTTTTATAAGTTCTTCAAATTTTTCAAGCGTTTCCACGTTTGTCCTGAATAATTAAAATAATTCGGTTAAATAGCTTCATTATTCAATAAAATAAGCAGTCCAGCTGATATGTACATTCAATATATTTCATACCTATATTCGTTTATAATTATAATAGTAAAAAATTTCATATAAATTTTTGTCTATATTACAAGAATTGTTTAAAATTTATTTTATAAACAATATAGTAAACTTTATCCTAAAGCCTTCATGAGTCAGAACATTCTTTTTTACATCAAAAGCGCATGAATATTGTTAAGAGTTTCGAGTCAACTTTTATATTTTTATGGATATACAAACAAACCGAAGTACCATTTTAATAACTTTTAATAATCTTTTAAAAGTTGGAGAAATATGAGAAACCCAGGAATGGATATTTATTAATTTTTATACGAGAAATAGATATTTATCGACTTTTAATATACTAAAATAGCATCGATTCGACACTAGAAGCCTCACACACAATCTTACAACTGAAAGTATTTAATATTAAGTAATATATTTGAATTCAATTTTTCAAACTGAGCCTTTACTTTTATTTGCAATTATCATTATTTTGAATTTAGAAGTATTATAAACATTTAACAATCTAAATGTTCAAAAACATTATTCATAAATATAATTTTTTTTTAATTCCACACATTCGCGTGTATTATGTTAATATTATTTAAAAAATTTTATTTTCATATTGAGATTAACTTTTTTTTTATTATTATTATTATTCATATTAAAAAGCTGATTATCAGTAACTATTAATATGCACCAAATATACAAAATATATATTTTTAAAAATATTCATAAACATAACATTCTATAAAGAGGTGTATATGTTACAAAAGTATCTAATGAAAATAACATTTCTATTAATAAATTTTTTAACAAAAATATTAATATTACGTTGTGTTTAAAATGCGCGAAATCATAATATTCATTTATTGATTAAAATCAATATTATTAGTAAATTGAAATTATATTATTTTAATTAGAAATTTTATGAACGCCAATTGCAACATAAAACAATGAATTAATTTAACAAAGTCTTTTAAATTAAACCATATATTAAATGCCATACTATAATTTATTTTGTCTAATTGCGAGAATATTCGCTTGGTTAATTTATAATTTTATTTACTTACATTTATAAAATATTAATAAAAATATTTAAATTTCAATTCATAGATAAATACTTTAACAGTTTATACGTTTATTTATTCAGTCTCTTTAGATTTCATAAATATTATATTTTACATAAATAAAACGTTATAAAAACCACTTGTACAACTTAAATATCTGTATTTTGTAATGACTAAATAATTTTCTATGGCGAATTACTATAGGCGATAAAGAATTTCCTTAGTTACTACCAAACCACATCATAAATTAAGTATCAATTGGCTTTTTAGGAAATAACCGACATTAAACAGTTATAATTGTAATTAATTAATTTTGCAATTATTCTGCGCTCTTTAACGACTGATCGAAAACAATACGTCAATCACTCAGAATACAATTTTTGAAGTTTTTTCAAAGTTCGCTATCAATTTGTAAGTATTGAAATGGAAACCTATCTAGACGAATTTACGTCCATAGGGAGTTCCACAAGGTTGACAGAACCAACCGATGTGATCACAAACATCATTAATTGAAAAATGTTAGTTAATACATTTTTTATTTTTGGGTTTATGGTGGTATTGATCGACATGATTTGTATTGATTTACTAATTTGAGAAAGAACAACACTCACATAAAAGTATTTTCCTACATTATTGGAATATTGCGTTGAGGAAGTAAAAGAAAAAATACTCTTAAAATACTTCAAATAATTTACCGACTCACACACTCATTAAAGCAATGGAAAATTTGAAGGAACTTGAAAGATGAGTTGCATCGCCGATCTTTTATTCTTTACATCTGATCCCTGCGACTAATTTTTCTTTTTTTTATTTTTTGTTTTTGTTTATTTTAATCGGCGAAACCGATACAAATTTTACATGCCCTTGAAAAATCAGCATATATAAATTTTATACAAATATGTGAAAACTAGTGGAAGAAGTGTAACTCCTTTTAAGAAAGCTATATTGAGGACAAAAATGTATTTTGGATACAAATTTCCATGGTTATTTTTCAACAATAATTGTCTTTTATGATGAATTAAGAAAGCATAATAGAAAGCATTGCTGAGAATATTCACGCAAGGACAATACTTAATATCAGAATTCAAATTGCTGAATAATAGTCGTCGATCGAAATGTTTAACTGATTCGTTGACTATAAGCTTTGATATGGTTGTTAGTCATTTCTATAATTACTGTTATCCTTTCTATCGTAGAAAGGACTAATTTGATCAAATTTGGTCAAATTTTTTTCTTATATTAGTAAATCAAGATATGTCAACGATCTATACGTCACAACCAGATTACTGTTATGTACTGTATAAGCAGATGATTCAGTTATCTCAGTAATACAACATTTTTATTGTTATAAATTTGTTTAATATTCTGAATTTTAGGATACACTGTTATAACTTACAATTCTATTTAAGTTATAATTACAGAAAGAAATATACTAATATAAATAGAAAAGAACCGTTACTTGCATCCGGAAATTTAGGGTATATTCGTTTAACATTATAATGGTTTATTTCTCAATGTTTTTGGAAAAAATATTTAGTGATATTTATTTAAAGTATTTACATAACTTTTACAATTTTTTATTCATACTTTCATTGGCTAGTATTTTAGTATTTTGACAAATGATAAATAATAAGAGACAGACAAAGTCATGTATTATAAACATAATAAGAATATTGAATGATCATGGAATTTCTAATGTAATTTGTACATTGCAAATAAAATAATAAAATTATCATAGGATTAAAATGTTTGTGGCGAAGAAATGACTTGTATTAACAAAAAAATATGGCGTGTAAAATTTAATCACAAATTTTCGATAATGAAAAGAGATCAGTGAATAAAATAAATTATTATTATTATAGATTTGAAAAGCCAAAAAATTTGTGGTAATCAAATTAAAAATTAACTTTTAGTAATTATAAGAGGGTTTTTACTACTTTCTATTTATAACTCATTTATATTGTACAGTAAATTAAGAATTGCTTTATGATTTAGAAAATATAATATATAATTACTAATTTGAATTTTAGTGCAATAGGTCAGTCAACAAACGTAGCTAAGCAGTTGTATTAGAGAACTTTATAATTTAGTAAAACGGTTAGATAACTATTTATAGATTTTTAATCGGTTAAAAGAAAAAAGTAAATAAAATTTTAAATTAATATCTAAGGATTAATTTAAACAAATAAAAGCAATTATTAATACCAGTGTGCAATAGAATAGCAGTGAAAAAATTTATCAGAAATTTTTGAAATCCACAATTAATTCGATTTTCATTTGTTTGTAATTTAAAACCCTTTGAATACGTGACTTAACTCATTCAATGAATAAAATCGAATAAAAATGAATGCCTTTGATGTAATCGTACTATAATATTTGTCCAATTGAATAATTTGTACATATTGAGCCCAGGAAATAATAGTGTTGGAAAATAGTTTTACAGTAATTATAAAAACATTAACGTAACATTAAATTTTCATACTTTTGTATTTAAAACTATCGCTAGATATTATAATTATTCATATTCTATGATTACACTTTATTTGTATAAATGTAAAATTTTAACGTAATGGTAAATACAATACACACTAAAATATATTTAGCATATTTGAATTTCTATTGGTTCTGAATTTACTTGACAATAAAGGCAAAAATAAAAACAAACAAAAAACAAGGGATTTTTCATATTTTGACATATAACGTAACTTTCAATACGTATGAAATATATTTGTTATATAGTACAAATGCTTAAACTGCCTGGGTATATTTTAATCGATATCTTAATTCAATTACTTACTTTTTCCTTACGTCTCTGTTAGTCAGTACTCTGTACATTCCCTGATAATGATTAAGTTTCCGTTCCCTTACCGGATCGGGAAATGTCATTTTCAATTTGATTTTTTTCATACGTTCGATCTTGTCCTCCAGAAAAGGGAGATACTGTTGCATATCCCGTAATTTTTTGTCGTAAGGATCCATCTTGCATCCGATTGTTCCTCTGATGAGCATAAAAATCCAAATATTTAATAGAATTTAAATATTTAATAAATTTAATTTGCAGAATTAAAATATTTTATATAAAAATACTATAAATGCTATTGCGCTTATCGATTTTAATAATATCAAATATTTGTATAAGGTTACGTGATTAATTGTCTCTTAATATTAAATAACTTCAATATACTGTACTTTTACCTAATACATTCATCATAGTGGATTTCGATTAAACACAGATATATTATTATTCAATAATAAATTTTTTTCATTTAAATATAACACAGTTCTGTATTATATTTCTAAGCCTCGACTTACAATTGAATTAAAAAATTACAATAATCTCTAACGATATATGTAATCTCGATCTACGCTTGCTAATATAATAATTGATGTTTATAAGGAGACTAAATGTGTTTAGTATTACATCAATAGCTCGTTTCTTTTCATATATTTCTAATCTTTCGTGTATAAATATATATATATATATATATATATATATATACATAGCTTATACATATAGCTTTTGCTCAGATTATTTTATTATAACTTATACTAATATTATATCGCTATACATTTGTTCTTATGAAACGCATATAAACGACATTAAAGTAATCCTACTTCAATCCTTCCGTATATATCTAGTTACTTAAAAAATTAACTATATAATTAATTTTTTCAATTATACATTAACAATATTTTACACAAAACTTGAAGCTCGTGAGCTCCTTATTTGTTACGATATTGTATTAATTATGTTAATATATAAACATCACCATTATTAAATTAAACATCTTTCACGTTAACGCGAGTGTCCGTCATGTACGTAATTCACTATTTTCTAAGATAATGTCGCTGCTGCTCCTACTCGGATATATAAACGGTTGCACTATAAGTCATGCATTATACTAGGACTACAAGGACTTGGTGAATGATTGCTCGTAGTGCACGAGAAGAGCAAATTCACCGGCCAAATAAAACCAGTGATTTCGCAGTTAGCGATATGTACCACAGTATTCACAGACTCCACTCCCAGCTATCGATCGTTACATAAACAGCCATTGAAGGGAGAAGGAGGGGGGCGTATGCGTACACGCCTCTGTAGACAGAGAGTCCGATGATAGATTTTTTTTCAATTAGTTTTATTATTCGTGCATGCAACATCACTTTAACGGCTAGTATAAAGTTCAATTATTTAGCATTTTACCATAGAATTATTTAAAATTCGTTTAAATATACTTTTGTTATATGTGATGTAATTTTAGAGAAGTAAAAAATTTCCATTTTTACCATTCCAAGTAGCCTGTCGACTAAAGAGACTTTGCCACTTCGGTTGGATATTTTTCTGTATACAAAACCAGATTTTTGTTTATTATATAAAATAGTCTTTCTATATAAATTAGTCTGTTAAAAATATTGCTTTAAATAACTAAAATAATTTCTATATTTGATTCATAGTACCATTTATAAATTAATAGAAATAATAGAAATAATATTGCTTGCTAATAAGCTGTTGCTCTTAATAAAAATATTATTTATTATTATTTTTTTTTTTTTAATTAAATAATTTAGATCGTACTAATTATTAAATATTACTTGCATTTTGATTAAAGATTATTTATGACGATTACACATGCCTTTATATTTATTTATATTTATTTTGAAAATTAAATTGCTGTATAATAATTATTCTATTCTTTATAATTAATTAGATTCTCCTACTTTTGGACGTTTTGAAACAGTTTACACTACCAATGATTAAAATGATTTAAATATAATTCAAATTTAAATATCAATCTAACAATTATTAGATTATAAATTAATAAAGTAAAACGAAAATAATAGTGTTATCGCTGAAGACAGGGGATTTTGTCAGAGCTAATGTATTTTTTTTCTTCATGGCTCATACTATCATATGTCCCTTTCTGCCGGTAAAAGAAAAACGAGAATGTGTGACCTATATTAATTATTAAAATTCTTATACATTGTCAAATTTATTTTATTAACAAATAATGAAAGTTGCTTTGCACATAATTTAAAGAAGACAGTTTTGAGCAAAATCGATCAACACCGGCGTATTGTCTATTTTATCACATTCGAACGTCAAAATATGCCGTATTTTAAATATTTTCAAACTTTTCAAATGATTAAAATTTTATCTGCAATTTAACTAGATATACTTGAATACAACAAAATGACGAAAGAATTATTTTTCAACAAAGTAAAATAACTTCAAAATAGTAATCTTCTCTTTATTCAAGCGATAAATATAATTTGTTTAATTCGCATTTACTCTTTAAAGTTATGCTACTTGACATTCTTTATATATATATATATATATATATATATATATATATATATGATTTATAATCTCATTTAAATTATTTAAGAGATCTTGCTTTACAAGCTTACTGTTAAATGTCTAAATACTCAAAATTGTTTCTTATACTAGGTTTCTTTTAAGTATTTTGCTAAGTTTTCATAATTTTCGTCTGCTGAACTAGATTGCACACGATGTACTTTATTTAATATCTTACCGATTTCACAATGGAATATTTTATATTCGAATCAGAAATTGAAAATATGTTATTTATACTTTAGAATAAAATTGAACAAACTCAAAAGTTTATTTAACCTACACAAGATTCGAATTTTAATAAAATATGTTAATTTAACTAAGTTATATATGTATACACATGCATAAACATATATATTTATATAATATATTTATATAATATATAGTCCATATGTATGCATAATTATACAAATATATTTCCAAAGAAAATTGTTACCCATTATTTTTATATTGCAATACAAATATAAATTAACTTATAATTAAAAAGTGTTTTTTGTAGTTCATTTATGTATTAATATTGAATATTGAATATATTTTAAAGTAATGATTAATATAAATGGTTAATGTAATCAATAAAGCATAATACCAATTTCGATTTATTAATTGTATAATTACTTCGATTCTTTGGAATACGATCATTAATAGATCTTTTTTAAAACTATTTCAATCGTGTATTAAGCAACTGGAAAAGAGAGAACATTAAAAGTTAATTTAATACCATTTTTTTTATATCGATATTTAAAATATCCCATTGAAATATAAACAAAATATATTCTTTAAATATATTCGCCAAAGAAATGGCATAATAAATTGATAGAAAAACTCAAAAAGCAAAAAAATTAGACTATAATTGGTTACTGAAGAATACCGATCTATTGGATTTCTAGAACATAAACAACGTATTTAGTAAAAATTAATGACGTGATATTTAATCTTGCATTGCTTACTTAATACCTTGAATGTTTTAATTTAATTAGTTAATATATATATATTTACACGTGTGTGTGTGTGTGTGTGTGCGCGCGCGCGCGCGTGTATCTTCGACTTTATAAATGAGGGATATATATGTACAAGTACTGAAAAGTATATACATTAATATTTTTTACATGTCACTTCATGGTCAATTCATTAATCATAGATACAAAATTTAAGGGACTGTATACTCAGATTCTTCGTTCTTTAATTTACGCGTATCCAAAACTTTCAATTAAATGGAAATTTGATATAAGCGAAATCGTTAGGTATTTAATAATCCAATGCGTCATTCTTAAAAATGTCAATGTAGAGTGGCAACATATTTTATAAATAGCACATTTCCTATTTTAATGTAATTTTTTTTCAATCATAGATACAACAGATTGTTGGACAATATCGTGTCCTCGATATATTTGTTAATTTATCTTCAAAATAAAAGTAAATATTTTAATTAGCAATATATTATTTATTCATACAAAATTTATGTAGTATCTGGTATTACGAATGTTTAGTATAATGTATTTTTGTAAATTATTAAATATTTCAACCGGTAAATCAAATTTTTATTTTGAAAATGTAAAAGACGATATCGAATTCAAGAAGCAACTTCGGAAGAACCAATTTTGAAATCTTTATTTTTATTATGTCCATATATTATGAATATTATACGGATTGCTTTGGTTAATGTTTCATTTTATAAAATGGCCTTGTAAATTTTATTATCACAAAATTTTTATTTTAATAACTAAGTTGGCTTTACGTTGTTTTTACGAAAAATGTGTATGCGCGCGTGTGATTATTAAGTTCGAACGATAATAAAAGTTAGAGGGTAAAAAATTGAAATAATTCCAATTTATTATTTAATAACGATTAAAAAGAAGAAAGAGAGAACAAATAAAAAGTAATAATAAACTCTGATTGGCTATTACTTCCGTAAATTACATATAGAAGTTATAAATAATTATCAGCTGATAATTTTACTCGTTCGTTTATCATATATTAGCTATTTGCAGATTTTACTGCCTTCTTTTTTTTAACAATAAATATTTGTATTTAGCTCAATTTGTTAATGTATAGTCATATTAAACAAGTTTCATACAAACATACATACCATCATACACACATACACACACACACACACACACATATATATATATATTAGTAATAAGTAACTAATATAATAAAATTCATTTAACATATACAATGTTAATTTGCTTAATTAATATATAAAGAATTCTATTAGCGGGAAAAGTTCGTGTCTCTATTGCAATTTGTATTTGTTATATTTATTATATTTATAGTTGCCGAATTTCATTTGTTAATACCTAATGTATTTTAAAATTAATTTTATCGTTTGCTTTTTTTTTTAAACAGCACTTTTATTTATTGTTACTACTTTATTGTTAATTTAATATTCCATTTCCTATTCTTTTATACTAAATATATCTACATATATATGTAATGCTACTTATGAAATTTTTCGTTACAATCTCTTTACCGATGATATAGTGCATGTAACATTTTACGTGAAAATTTAAATATTGTAAAAACAAAAAAAAAAAAAAACGCCGACAAAAAACTAAAAAAACTGAAATTACCTCGTTAATCTTCTCTTTTAAATCTTTAAGTTAATTAAAATTATCATTTTAAATAATTAATATCGAATTGGATTCTGTGCTGGATACGGTGCAGAGGTATACAAACTATATTTAAGAAAAATAACCCATAAATGCTTACAGTTGCATCTTGCTTGACTAGTATCCTTTTATAAATATTAAACTTATTATTATTTGTGCTGGATTTTTCATAAGCTTTTTTTGTGCATATCGAATGCTTGTTCGTTCGACAAGTTTGTCTGTTGGCCCTCTAGCGGCGACCGCCAACCGAAATTGCTGTATCCAAATTTTTGGAGCTTTGTATTTCGAAACGTTTATCACTTTATTCGATACTTTTCACATTTGGATTATCATTGTATTATGAGTGTAAATATCTATTGGCTATTATGACTACTACTACTACCGGATTTCTTGGGGATAACTGAATAAATGGATGATTGAATAATCCGGAGCTTGAAACAACGTCACGATGACGGCATTCGAAGCAATAATAATGCATTTGAAACTTGTGTCGAACTGTAAAAATCCTCGATTGATTTGGCGAAGCAAATTAGAACGTTAGGTTTTTTAGCCTCGGAAACGTCGTCTTAAAAAATCCAAGCCAACTCAACTAGGATGCAAAAATCCATGTACCCTCGGAGTATTAGTTTCGAAAGACGGCTTGTGTCTATATATATATATATATCATACGCCATTTCATGCGACATCCGCCAACGCCATTTTGTCGTCACTTGTTTCAAATCGCGCACAAACACCGTAATAAGCATGGGCCTCGGGCAAGTTGGCTAACAGCAAATGCCGCATCACGCAAATTTCCCATCAAGCATTCTCCCGAATCCAGTCACCTACGTCCCTTTAAAAACTACCGCAGTCCGCCGATTCACTATTATTATCAGCGAGGCTCGTAACCTCGCCATCGCCAATAAGCGCGTCGCAGTTACGCTAAACAATGCCAAATCGACGCTCGGCAGGCAATCCGTCCCAAACAGCAGCCAAGTAATACGAGCGGCGACACGACGACAGCTCGGCTCTGCTTGCTTTATCTTTCTTTTCTCTTGTTTTCTTTCGTTCTATTTGTTCCGTTTTATAAATCGTGCAAGGTACCTACCGGAATCGTACGTTAAAGAAAATAGGCTAGCGTGAGGAAAGCGTCGGTGGGGTAGGGGCTCAGAGCCACTAACTCGTCCTTGTGGCTACTCCGTCGCCTGCCATGCGCGCTACGCAATAAACACGAGGCTCTTGCTCTTCGTCTCTGTTCTAGCGACGCGGGTCGCCGTGACGATCAACGGGAACGAGAAGGCGGCGTGCGCGCATTTCGGCTTAGGCCCTCAGCCCGACCGATAGATGGCGATCCAGAGTGTCGGGCGCTCATTGGTCGATTGGACAGAGACCCGAGCACGATGTCACGCGGCTTTAATATCGACTATGTGGTGCACCGGTGCTTCGCTCCCGATCGACGTGTCGAGAATACCTGGAAAAGCACGGGGGCACCGAGGCCGAGGCATCCTTAACCGCTGGCACATTGGGAAACGTTCCGTCGAGACTATAACCCCTTGGGGCTACGGACGCACTTTAGAACGGATGCGTCGTCACGTTGTGCGCAATTTCCGACCCCCACCGCCGATTTCCGGGAAGGTGTGATTGGATGGGCGACGTTGCCAAGTTTCCACGACGCTTTCGCGTGTATAAAGAGGCTTGCAGTGGCTCGTGAAAATTTTATGCCGTATTACGTATTTCGCAATTGAATGCACACTGGGATTTTCTGGCCGAGTTGCGTGTGATTTTCGATTTTACGAATAATTACAATGTTATTACTTTGCTTACGTCAGATATATGTTGATAAAACAATTATATTCGCATCGAAGGCCTATAAGTACGTTTTTTGTTTTTGTTTTTATTTTTATTTTTATTTTTATTTTTGTTGTTGTTGCTCTTCGTCTTCTTCTTCTTCTTCTTCTTCTTCTTTTTTGCTCCCATTAAAAAAAAAGTAGAGTCTTTGACACAATTATGTGTTTATTCTATTGAATTATAAAATAAAAAAGAGAAAAAAAAATCAAGCACACGGTCATTTTTTAGCGACTGCAACGTTCGCCGGCATTAAATAGACAAAACTTTGCT